GGGCTTTCAAAGAGTTGATTATTCTGGATCAAAAAAAAGAAGTACATAGAATATAGTGTTGATTTTGTCATTGGAGTTCTGTCCCAACCAAGGCTGCTGAAATATAATTCAACTGCAGGGGTTAAAAAAAATCATTTAGAAATAAACCATCTGATTGCAAAGATGGAACAAGACTTGATAAATGCTGAAGATATTTTACCTCTGGAACACCATAAAGAAAAGGTTTCCTATGAGCCTTTCATTCTTTCTTCTTTGCCCTTTTCAGGGCTTTCTATTTTCTCCTATTTAGTCATGGCTGGAAGTCAAAAGATGTGGAAAGGGTAGAACTGGCATATAAATCCTCTAACCTGCCTCCAGTAAAAGAATTTGCATCCAAACATGCATCTTTACCCTGGCCCCCTTTGGAGCTGTCTCACAGAAATCTAACTCTTAAAACGATGGCTCATTTCTCTACCCCTCCCCTTCCCCATAATGTCGGGGGAAAAAAAAAAGAAAAAGTCCCATCTTATGTTCCGGGTGATAAATGGACCTGCTCCTATACCCCATCCTCATTACTGATGAGCTGAGAGCTGATCACAAGACTGGAAGAGCAAGTAGCTCCATGATATACTAGCTTTGCACAGGATGCCTGTGAGTCACCAGTGTGATGTAGTCACAGAAATAACTCATGCTACCAGTCACAGTCTTCGCAGACTGTGACAAATATTACAGCCACAGGGCAGGACATAAGGGAGATCATCTCTGGACCATGGCAGAAGGTGCAGAAGTAGTCACAGTCTGGGAAAAATGTAGAATTGAGAAGCGATTTAGAGTAAGGCTGCATACCATTAGGATGGTGTGGAAACAAGCCAGGGAGCCTGATTAGAGAATGTCTGCACTGAGCATTGAAGAAGAGCAGTGCTGAAAGCCCTGAGCTACCATGGACTTTATCTGCTCTAGAAGCAGTACATCACAGCATGGTGCTGATGGGCTGTATTTATTATCTCAAAGTGCATTAAAGTGGATGAACTGCTTCTGGCCCTGAGCTGGTCTTGCTGCAGCACAACAGGTAGACAGATCAGCTGGAGTCAGCAATAGCTCAGGACTCTCTGCACCAAATTTCACTGCACTGCATCAATGTCTTCTGTATAAGCTTGGTTTGTGCATTCAGGCACAATGAAAGCTGTCAGGGCATATGATGGCTTGCTATAAATATATCAAGAAGAGAAGGAGAGATGGGGGAATGACACTAGGGCTGGAAAAAAAAAATTAAATTAGGGGATAACACTGGCACAAAGTCAAATAGATATAAACTAGTTACAAATAGGTTTAGGCTGAAATTGGAAGTCAGTTTCAAATCATCAGAGCAGTGAGATTCCAGAAGGCTTTCCAAGAAGAGGAAGAGGGCCAAAAAGCCTAATTACTTTTAAGATTAGGTTTAAATATTTGTGAAAGGGTTATATGACATTGCTGCCTGAGGGAACTGGATAAGATTCAGTAGTTCAGGCAGCTCTTCCTAAATTCATATTCCTCTGAACATTTTACTGCTATCTTATGAGCCCCTTGGTCATTCATAGTCGTCACAAGATTGCCCTAATTTTCTCACATGGCTCAGATCTCCCTAATACTGCACCACCACTGGGACCCTCAAACTTCCTGTCAGGGGAGAGAGCTGTGCATGCCCATGTGGAACTGCTTGCAGCACCAAGACATGAGCTCTCATTTTGCTTTTGAGTTTCCATGTTAAGTACAGCCTGAGCTCCTGATTCTTGTGAAATGATGCAAGGCCTCAGCTTCACACTTCTTTCAAATATTTGTCTTTTGTGAAGAGAACCTAAGTTGTTTGTGATCTTGCCCCAGTTAGACCCTTTGCTACACTTGGTGGAACTGCAGTACAAAACCACTATCTTGCTTCTTTGCCTCAGTTAAGGGGTTTGATGTTTCTGAGACCTTTTGTCTTCCCTCACTGGACTCTTGAAGCAAAATAAGAAAAAGAATAAAGACATCTAGCTAAAAGGATTTTCTATCTGTTCAAAGGAGAAAGGTGAGAGTTTGGATCTGTCAGCATAAGAACTTTCACTGAAACTGGTCTCAGAACTGACCTCTTAACTGCAGCTTATGGTACTTGATGGAGTTTTTTTTTTCCTAAAAAAACCCTTTTTTAAAACCTCTGTTTCAAGATGTAGCTTCACATGAGAATCTTAGCATCTCGTAAAAATCTTTTTAATCCTCTAACCCTGCAGAAAAAAAAAAAAAAAATCTTAAAAAGTTTCAGGTTGTACCTTATGTAAGCCAGAAAAACAAAAACACTACTATCTTCTATGCTCACAGTTCTGCAAGGCCAAACCAGGGAGTATGGAGTGGCAGTGCTTCCACACACCCTCTTCCATCTGGTGCTGCTTTTATGGGGTGTGCTTTATAAAAAAAAAATAAATCTCCACTTATGGCTTCTGAGAAAGCATTTTTAGGCTAGTAAAATTTTGCTCTCACAGTGTTAAGGAGTCCTGAGCCAGGTCTGGTTGAAAATTGTGCTGCACATGACATGGAAGAAAAGGCTGGGAAGAAATTCTGCTCAAAGTGGTGAGAAGAGTGTGAATGCAAAGTACACAAAGAACATAGCCAATAAATGCCAATACTTGCTGTAGAGTGAAATCCTCCACTTTTCTGAACAAATATATAGCAACAACAACCATAGCACTACAGAGAATAAATTATTTTGCTTCTGGTTAGAAAAATTAAAATGATATAATTTTCAATTTTTAAACAGGATTGTGTTTTTAAGAATACTTAAAAAATACTACTACTTGATAGGTAAATGTAAGAATAACTTCTTTCAAAACACTGAAAAAGAAGTACTAGACATCTGCAATATTTATCATTGAAAAGACACAAATAATATCCTCTTTTAACTGTTGTAGGTCAGACACACAGGTAAATAGATCATAATTAATTTAAAATGCTGTGGTGGGTACCTGCCACGGCCCGGGCGCGTGGAAGGGTCTGGCTGGCACTGCCCATGGGTGCGCAGCCTGAGTAACTCTGCACGCTGAGAGGAGGTGAAGAGATGAGAGAGGACACTTGTTTGCCAGCCCAAAGAGTCCTTTATTCCCCCAGGTGGGGCAAGAAAGGTGTCTCTGAGCGGGTGCAGTGACAAATGCCAAAGAAATCAAACACTGCAGCAACTTAAATAAGGGGTGGGCGGACAGGGGTGTAAACCTGTCTTGCCCAATGGGGATAAACCAGAGAGGGATACAACAACCTATGATAATGTAGCAGGGGTAGGTACAAGGTCAGGGGACAAATAGAAAAGCTAAACTGGAGTTATTGATACAGAACTTTCTGGAAGAAACTGGGGGTAATTACAGGATTGACAGCCAAAAGGGTATAAACAAACTCAGACTGATGGAACCAAATAAGGAGAAAACAGGAAGAGGTGAGAAGATTGACAGATAACTGGGGAGTCAAGTGGTGGAAATTTTTGGGGTAAACAACTTGGATCAAACCAGCTGTAAGGGGACAAATGGAGGAGCATAAGGCTAGCGAACATTAAAACCAACTGACTAAATCAACCCACACCGCAGCAAAATGTTTCAAGAATAAATTGTAGGGCTTGGAGTAAAAGTATACAAGCTGTGGAACATAAGAAACATGAATTGAAAGAATATTATTCAAGGACTATATATTAGGAAATTTTGATTACAAGAGTTTTCATTTGAGGCCAAAACACGTGGGAAAGACGTAAAACATGTGAGATTAAAAAGAAATAATTCAGAAGACATCAGGAATTTCCAGAATAAAACCTTTCAGTCCTATATGAGTCCATGCTCTGAATACAGTTCATAGTTACTGGGCAAATGAAAATGGTGGTTTATAAGAAAATTCCTGTACATTTGGAATATACTTAATACCAAGGTACTCCTAACTGTAATAGTCTAAGTTTCTCTTCATCTCCTTTTTTTTTTTTTTTTTTTTTTTTTTTTTTTTTTTCTCTTTTTTTTTTTTTTTTTTTTTTTTTTTAAGACTTCACTCCTCTCATTTTTTCTGCCCTTTCACTTAAATGAGATATAAACACAAACTTGAGACACAGGAACCTAACTGATGTGGCAAAGATATGTATGTTTGCTGACCCACAGCAGCCTAATCACTTCAGGGAATGTGGACTGAGATTTTCTTTAACACAAGGTATTCATCACACTTAAAATTACTTCATATTTTTTCCTTCTCTTCAAGATGCTGAAAGGGCTGGGACCACCAAAGAAGATTTCCTTGGGTATAGAACTGAGGAAGGCAACTCCAGCCTCAGGAGAAAGCCCTGGGGAGTGCTTTTGGATGGGCTGAGAGACAGGTGATAGTAGCACTGTTGTACGGGAGCTTACCTGATCTTTCCACACTGGGAGCACAAAAAAAGATGTCAAAAATGTGCATGTGAGACATGCACTGCAGACTCCCACCCTAAATTGTTGCAAAGGTGCCTAAATAAAGCAGAGACTCCCCATCTTCCAGCATCTCTTCCCTCACTCAGGGAAAAAGACAAACTAAATTCATCAAAGTTGGTTTTGCTCGAGTAGTTGCAGCACCATTTGAAAATTGTTTGGTTTCAGATATACCAAAAATACCTTCAGGCACTGCAATAATGAGCCTAGGTTAATTTTAACCAACTAAGCAGTTAAATGTCAATGGTAGAATAATCTGGTGGCTGGGTGATAGCTGTATATTGAGCTTCATAGCCAAAGGAGAGTGGGATATTTCTGAAGTTCTAGTCAGGCATTAAATGGGTGACAGGCCTTGTAGAAATGATCATACAAGTAAGGAATGGCCATAATTTCTATTAAATAAACAGTTTTTGGGAAATAACTTTATCACCCCAGATTCTTCAAATATTTTCTTGATTTCCCAGGCTTGGCTTTCAATGATATAAAACTCATACACTGTATGACTGAATGCAAAAGATTAGTTAAAAAAAGTATTTATTTTCTATTTTTCTGCTCTGTTTCATTACAAAAAGAAGCATAACAAAAACAAAACAGAAGATAGCATTTTATTAGTGGTACATTAATGAGCTTAAACAGCTAGGTGACTTATGCTTGTCACAAATACATATTACAAACAATCACAAAACCTTAACTAAAATGAAATAAATAATTTGAATAGCTTTTCTTAATTTTTTTAATATTTATAAAATATATAGGACTTTCTATTACATTTTTCAGTCATTTTAATCCATAACAAATTAAAATTTATGACATATATTGCAAATATGCTAAAGGGATAAGAATAATTTAAAAAATCTTTAAGTTCCTGGAGGTATGAAATAATAAATCTGTTAATGTTTATCAATTTATTATCATATATCCAGATTGTGCATACCCTGCAAAAATAGCCATTTCTCAAACTAATATACACATGTTTCTTTATAGTATTGTAAGTTTTTAAATATAAAGCTTCATGGATGTATGCTTCTGTTTTACAGTTGTGCCTAATATGTAACTTTCATTAATATATACTGAATATATTCCATTAGTATATACTAATATATAGACACATGCATACACACACACACTCCCCACATACATACACACAGCATTATATATTAGTATATACTGAATTGCAAAAGAATTTCTGTGACAGATAGCTGGAATTCCTGTGGAGAAAATTGTTAAAAGTGGAAGGCATGTATACCACAGCAAAAACTGACTAGGAAATGTAAATGAAAGCATTTGTTTTTACATTGTTCAATATATTTCAATAGATTATGCACTGTAATAATATACAGAATTTCAACAGAATTTTTTTTTTTATTCCAGCATTCCAATGTTTTTTAAATTTGATTCCAGGAAGCTATGAACCACTGTCTCTGCTTGACTTCCTGAAAATGGAGCCAAGCAAGTAGAAATGTGTTGACATTATAGAACTTATTTCAGGAAAATTGAATTCTACTTAACCCTCCAAGTCAGGAAAGCACTTAAGCACAGTTATGAATTTATTTGCTAAAACCTGAAAGTTAATCACACACTCAAGCACTCTTAAGCTCTTGCTATAAACCTCAACACTGTTCCCTGTCCAAGGTTTAGAGGTTCCATTATGTAGTTAAGTACAGTTTTGCATCTGTCTGAGCAACAGGAGTAAGGGAACATGGAAATATGCTTGGGGACCCCAGAGCCAATATTCAGGTGTGTGTTTGTGGCAGATGGAGAGAAAGATGCAGCAGGGAGAGGGTTGACCAGCATGGGGTAGCCTGCTTGTGGCTAATAGTGTGTGGTGTGGTGAGGAAAGAAGTGATGCAAAATAACCTATGCAGGCACCATCAGCCTTTTTCAGCTTCATTCTGCCCCTTGCTGCAGCACAGCATCCCCCTCCAGGCACTGAGCTCCAGGGGGCTACACTGTGAAGCTGAGCTTTTTTAGCTTTTTAGCTTTTTCTCCATGGTGCACGAGCAGCAGCTGCCACAGCCAGAGAGATGGTTGGCACCAGGACCTGGCAGCCTTGCTGGTAACGTCTCGGAGGGTTTTTCCCTCTGGACTAATTTCAGCTGGGCTGCATGGTCTGAAAGCCCATCAGGACCTGGAACTGGGATGCTTGCTTAGAGTCATCCTGAAAGAAATAGCTCATGTGCTTGACGACTGCTCTGTGATAAAATTGCAGGAGTGGTTGTAGGCAGGAGCCTGGCTTAAAAAGCACATTCCTGATAAAATGAAAGCACTAAAGTAGAAGCACTTCTAGTTCCTTAGAGAAACAGAGAGAAAGGGAGACACATACACGTGCACCTTGAGAGATCTTAAGCTATATTCCCACCCTGTGTTTCCTTTTGAAGTGCCTGAAGTGCAACCTCAGGCATCTAAGACAGGTACTTAAAATCTGGGAACTTAAGTGAGTCTTTCATGTTTTCCATCATACTGAACTGGTCAGAGGTGTGAGCTTCAAGCTCCTACTCATAACTGCCTGAGACAGATCTTTTTAAAATCAGCTTTAACTTTGTTTCAGACATTAGACTTTTTCAGAGACCAAACCACCACATAAAGAAATAGAAAGTATAATGCAGGGCTTAGTGTTTTCAATGTTAATAAAATTTCCAAAAGCTTTATTGGAATTGCTAAGAAAGAATGAAAACTGATCTGAATTTCTAAGGGCAACAGTTGTACATTCTCAAGATCTCAAGTATTTTCTAATATTTCCTCTGATACAAGAAACATCTTAAGGCATTGAATAAACCAAATCGCATTAAAAGTAACAGACTGCAATGTTGACAACTACAAATGTTTAACCGTGAACTTTGAGGTCTTCTGATAAGTCTCTGCATTTAAAATAAATAAATATAATTTTGTGGAATCAAGTACTAATTTAGAAAACACGACTTTTCGTGATCCTTTTCTCAAAGTATATTGATACTGTATATTATTGGGTTGTATTCTTAAGAATTCTAGTTTGAATAGACAAAACTTTAAATGATTGGTTTAAAAAAATAGCCCTCTTAAAACTAGCTCTTGTCCGCTAAGTTCTTGATGTACTTAACATAATAAAATGTCCAACAGCTAAAAAAATATGCTAATCTTTATTTCAATGGTGTCTTTGTGCTACTGGAATGCAAAGCTCTTTTGAAAATCTGTAGCTCTTATTTTTAAAAAGATGTAGAAAATGAAACATATTCACTTATTGATGAAATCATGAATAAATGTATTAAAATTTGTAACACTTCCATAATAAGCTTATGCTAACACTATAACCTAGCATATGATTAGTTCTGTGAAGACCAGATAATCTAAAATTCTCATCATAAAACAAACCAAATGAAGTCAAATACATTTTGTTATACTTAAGAATACATATTTTTGGTATACTAGATAACATCAATAGGCATGGTACTATTAAAATTTTCTTCATTAAACTTACTTGAAAATATAATGACATAAAGAGAACAAATTATGTATTATGCTATGGATTGGTTTGTTTACTCTTTCTTGTTAAAATATTTACTTTTACTTGCATATAGATTTTTAGCAAAAGTTGATGGCTCATTATAATTCTGTTTTTTCATAGTCAATGGGCTGTGTTGACTTATGAAACACTTGTATTCATTATATGTTATGTGTGAAATGACAGGCTGCAACACAAAGCCTGAATTTTGACATATTCACATGGAGTTCACTATGCTTTAAATGTAGGTATTTAAATGCAAAATGTAGCCATTTAATATGTTTGTAAATTTTATTTTGGTATTTCAGGATTAGTTATAACACAGAATTTAAAATTTTGCCTCTTTGGTTCAAGATTAAATTTCTGACCAAGTTGCTCTACAAGGACAAGGTTGCATGCAGAGTCACCTCTGAATATTCTGTGAGGTCACTGCACAAATGTCTGCAGCATTTACAAATCAACACTGACCTGCAGTCAAAACTATGACATCTTATATTCTCTGAATAACACTTTTCTTCTTGAAAATAAAAGTACTGATGAAGCCCCACCAGTTTACCACCTTAGAAAAACAACAAAAATAAAAAACAATTTAATGGCTAATGTGTTTCTTAAATGTTCTGTATTTAATGCACAGTTGCAAAACTCTCAGTGATGAATGCAGATGTTCTACAAACAGAACACTTGACAGAGATCTTCAGGATACCCTGGTAGAGTCTCAAAAGTTCATATCATTAACTCCATTCTGCACAATGAGTATTTTTGTTTAAATTCTTTGTGGGAGACTTTAATATAATGGGATTCCTTCATCTACAGAAATTTGCAATGACATACTTTGTGCTGGTTTGGGTAAATGTTATGCTCATTTAAGCACGTCTCCTACTAAACACCCCTCAGACTCAGTGATGCAACTGCACATCACATGAACAGTTGAACAGAAAACATTCAACCAGCAGCTGACCAGTTTCAGATTCTGCTATTGCCAGCAGAGGTGGTAGCACATGGCCACACTGTTGTGACAGCTGAATGCCACAGAAATGCACTGAAGTGGAGGAGATTTTTTGGGAGGACTGAGAACTGCCATTAAAAGATATCAGGCTTCTCTTTTGAACACTGTCAACGCGCTGCCAAAATTTGTGTTTCCAGTATATGCTTTCTAGACAAGGGCAGTGCCTGAGTTACCATTGTTAAACCTCTTAAACTGTTATAGCTTTAAATTTAAAATATCTGGGGTTTGTGTCTCAAGCTTGAGATCCTATGGATAGCCATGGCATTTTTATCTGTCCTTCAGATGTGACCCCCATATTTAGGGACAATCCTTATTAAAAACTTCATTATGGTGCCTATGAAAACATTGGATTTTGATACCACTTAAGAGTATTTAATAGCTGGATTGTTACATCATTCCAATGAATTTAGGATGGAAAAAAAATGTGTAGTCCTTGGAGGTGTACTAATAGGAAGAACGTGTGTACCAGAAGACCTTTGAAAGTGATGAGTTCCCCTCCCCTCCCCAGATATTTTGATTTCAATACAATAAATAGAAACCCCCAAAACTGCTACTGAAAATGTATACCTTTTTTCCATCATCTTCACTCATGTGTGACATAGTGCAAAATTAAATTATATTACAAAATCACAATAAAACAAAGTTATTAATTTTAAACTTACAAGTCCTTTATATTTCATCATTAAATGATACTCAGAAACTAGTACTTGATTCAGAGTGATGCAAAGGTCTTAAAAAACAAAGAAATTATGCATTCTGTAATGCATTCTTTATAGTTTGTTCAATTTATTCCCATTGTACTATCTATATATATATATATATAAATAACTTATTAAAAATTCAAATGGTAAAATAACTTTTCAAGCATAATGAAAAAAGTCTGTTTGTTTAGAGTTTAAATGAAACATAAATTCTACCTATGATGTGAAATCAAGGTTAACTATGGAAACAATGAATTAGATGGGTTTTCTGAAACAATTTCAAACTCTTGTGAACAAAGACAGTTGGATTTATGGTATTTAATTCTTAATAAAAAAAAACAGAGGAAATAAATAGATGGCACATTGTTTTTGGACTTGCACTTAATTTAGAATTAAAATTAAAATAATATGCCATTATTTTTACTTGAAGAAGAGGTACTTACCCATGGAAAAGTATTTTTTCTTTTTGTGGCTTGTTTGCTTTGTTTTTAATGTATCAGACCAGCATGGCTATATGTCTGCAGTTGTTACTTTTAGATGAATAGAATAAAATGGAAAAAGTAGCATGATTCCACGTATGAACATGAGTATGGATTTACAACAGTGCTTAAAGTGCTTTCTTATTTGAGGAGGTACTTACACAAATGTCTTTTCATGCTTATCTCCTTTGTCACCATGTACTGTATGCTTGCTCTCATAATATAATGATAGGGCATTATGTTCATACTCAAAGTTTAGTATATTGTCATTAAAAAACATCTGAAAAGAGGAAAATGACAATTCTATTTGTGTATTATTACAGCAATTTGAAAATTTTATTAAATACTCAAGTGCTTCATTTTGCCATTTATTCCTTTGCTTCCAATGCTGCTTAAAGCACTATGTAAGTACAAATAGATAATACTAAAAGCATATCCATCCTATTCTGGGGTTTTGACTAGGATTATTTACTGATGTCTTGCAGAACAGAGATGAAATTACGATCCCACGTGACCATTTATCTGCTGATGCTGCAAGATGTCTTGCCTCCAGGATTGGTTTCCACATACATGGTTCACCAAAGGTCTAAATCTTATGAATATTTATACATTTTTATGTCTCGTTGTTAAGTGGCAGTGCTGTCATGGGGGATGTCAAGTAGAATACTTTATTTTGCCAGTACCAGAAGTTGTGGGAGCAGCAGAAGCTGTGGCTTGGCTGCCTACATACAAAGGGTCCAAACAAGCCACTTTGGCTGCAAAGAATGAGTGGATACAGTGAAGAACTGCAAACAGGTTAGAAAACTCCAGCTCCTGGAATTAAAAAAAAAAAAAAATTAAACATGAAATGGAAAAACACTCCACAAGGATATAACCAGGAATGAACCACTGTTACAACAGCAATAATTTTAATAGCCTGATGTAATTCTGCTAATGTACCTTGCAAATCTCCATTATAGGGACTTAGATATTGAAAACAGAACATTCAATAAATAACTGCTTGGAGGCTAAAATGGACAAATACCTGGATTAAGTGCCTCATAGAAATATGAGATCCTAGTATCTAAAGGGAAAAGAAAGTGACACTATAAAATTTTTATTTTCCCTAAGGTTAATGCATATCTGGCACTTCTGTAGTTTAATTCAGATAGAAACTCTATGGCTGTGCGGTAACAGTCTGCACACCTCTGGACTACTACTGTTTAACTAATGTATCCACAAAAATTAATAATGTTGAGTTCCACATATATTACATTTGTTCATCATGTCTTCTCACACTATTAATCAGCTATTAAATCACACTATTAAACAGCTATTTTCTTACCTGATTATTTAATATATATATTAAAACAGAGAGGGCATTGTGGAGAGGACATAGTGAGAAAACTAGATAAGTTTTCCCAGAACTGGTTTGTGAGACTTTAGAGAGTTGAAGATAAAAAATAATAATTTATTATTATAAACAACTTGCAGGTGTTGTTTTCCTACACTCTGTTTTCTTGGTTTTTTCAAAGATTGTTTATAAGAAAGATGATTTTTTAATTAACAAATCAGGTGAAATGTATTGAGTAATTAACCAATCAGGTCTATCTGTATCAAAAATATGCATAAAAAGGAGAATCTGAATTAAAACTATACTATGCTATACAAACCAAACCAGCCTTCTGTGTAGTTTCTTATTCAACAACAACAGGACATAATTTCAAAATATGCTACTATCGCACAGTGATAATTTGGATTTCTTATTGGGCCAAAAAAAGAACATACTCCATGTTTTAATTTTTTTAGGAATATTTTACAAATTCCTTATTTTTCTACTTTAGTTTAAATTTCTTTATAGCCCACTCAGCTTGTGATTACACTAGCTGGGAGTCTATTTTTTAGACTCCACTAGAGAGGAAATAAATAAAAACTACATTTTTAACATATATAAATTTGCTCCTTTATGTCTAATGACTTTATGTGATCAAGTTTTAGGTTATTTTCAGTATGTGTTTTTGAAGCTGGTATTTAATCAATAAATATCTGTTATATTGGAAAGCAATTACTGAGGTACTTCAATGCATACAAGTCTAGGGAAAGTAAGTACAGATTTTACATCTTTCTGCTTTGATTCACTGCCCATACAGATTTTTTTCACTGAAACGTGAAGCCAGTAATTGCTATCTGTGGTTTATTCTTCTTGTCTTTCCAACCAGCATTGGTATTTCCAGGCTATATTTTTTGTTTAGAAGAATATTGAAAATGTTGTAAATTCAACAAAAATTGCTAAATCTCTCAAATGACATCAGCCTGCAATTTTCTGCTTCTTGAGACTTCCTGGAAGACATTGCTTCATGGAATACATGGAGATATTCACAAAGCCCTCATGGGTGAGGAACAACAGCACGAAACCAGACAGGTGCATGTGCAGTGTCCAGTGAAGTACTGAATGGGTGAAGCTTTGTTCAGGTCTCCTACAGCCTCAGCAGATGTCCTTCAGACATGCTCAGAAATTAACTGATAACATCCCATGAGATTCTTTAAACTCCCCTTTAATCTCAAAATAAAAGATAAAAATTATGCCAAGTTTCACAAACCTGCCAGCTGTGTCTATATAAAAAAATAATCCATTTAGAGACATTCTCAGTTTCAAACCCAGAGAGAAAGGCAATTTTATGACTATGTCAAAATGGATTTTTTTTTCCTGTCTCAAATTTTAAAATAAGAAAATTTATCATAAATAAAAAAAACAGTGGTCATTCAAAGATCAGGTAACAAGGAATTATGGAAGCTATTTCAGAATAACAACCATGGGCCATTGGAATTAAATTACTTTTCAGTTAACTTCATATTATTAATTAATTAATTAATTTACCTTTTTAGTACTATAAAAACACACCTGAAGCTTAAGATAAGGGAATAAATATTTAGTGGAACTGTGAAATATTTTTTAATATTTTTAATATCAATTGCATGTATTCTCTGTGGAAAGACTACAGTTCCCCCTATGTCTCAGCAATGCAACCATATTAAAACAAATGCTACAGTCTGAGAATTGTTCAAGTCAATTAGGCAACGCTACAAGCTAAACATTGCTACTATCATAATTACAGCTACTGCACACTGAATTTTTACAGTGCATGAGTACAATTATTTCCAAGAGTTATCACAGCTTTCTGCAATAGTAACACATCAGGAGTATCCACTGCTCAATTGACCATCAAGGGAAATGGTGAGGCAACAGAACAGTCTCTGAAGGTCCCACTTGATAATTGTTATCAATAGTAGTGACACAAGATGGAAATTACCTTGACTGCAAAGAAGAGCACTGAGAAGTCATCAAATGCTCGGTTATTATTTGCAATGAAACACTATTCCTATTTCAATGAAGAAATGCATTTTTAACTGGAAATTGAAGCAATATGAAGCACAGTAGGCTGACTGGTATGTGGCAAGTACATGTAGGTTTGATTAATGGCTGCAACTCAGTTCTCAGAAGCCTGATTGATGGGAACAGGACCTATCAGGAACATTTCTCAGGCAGATTAACCTAATCACAAGAAACCTTAACAAACAGATACACTCCATGTAGAGCTGCTGACAGACAAAACATGCCCTCACTTCTGCTGGGAACTTGCCCCTTTAGGTGTCTCCAGGTCAGCACTACTGCCAGCAGACACAGGAGAACTCACAGGCTTTTGTGCATCCCCAGCCACCCTGGCTGTTTTTGTACGCACTTTGTCCTCAGCCATACTTTTGTCTGAGTACACCTTCCTCTAGGCAGGGTAGTGTGTACTGCACAAATAGTCCAGATAAAGTTTCAAGTGAACAATCAGACAAATCCTAAAAAAACTGAAAAAATATGCAGTTAAGCCATTGAAGTTGATACCAGTAGGGAAATTCACATGCTCTGAATCCTCCAAAAAGCAAAGAAATCCTAATTTAAGCCACACCTACTTGTCCATGCACAAGTACACAATTTAATATTATTATAATTTCCAGACTGTTGCCTGTACACCTCACCTAAGACCCTACACTCCCAGGAATATCAGTGTACCCTCTGGTCTTTAAATTGTCTTTAAATTGTCTAAGATATCTCTTGATTAAACTGTTCCCACCCTACATTGCTGTCATTATACCAGCCACCTCCAGATTATTAATCTGAACATCTGCAGTTCCTGCTGAGGACAACGTAAGTGGACAAAAAGGCATGTGAGAAAGATTCAGTCATTGAAAATGTTAGAAGTATAATGGAATTCTAGTAGCTTTTCACAAAGGAAGTCTGGATTGAAAAGACAAAGAAAGGAAAAAGAGAGTTTTCCTAAAAGAAAAGAAACAAACTCCAGAAATATCTTATTGCATTGTATTATACGTGTACTACGTAGTATGATACAACTAGGTAAATGACACATTTACAAAATCCAGTAATTGTATGTTTTGAAGTACCCATTACTATGGGTATTTCAAAACATATTTTAAAAAATTTTAAAAGTGTGTTCCTTTTATCCATATATAAACAGATTATATGAGAAGGTATTTGTTAATCAGAAGTGGAGTTACATGTCTGTATTTGCATAGAATCTGATCTAAAATAGATATTAGACGAATAATCCATGCGTAAGACATGGGGAAACTAAAAATAAGTATGAACCACAGAAACCAACACAAATCAGAAATCTGAACTCTAAAATTCAGTAACTGCAACTGAGCAATCACTCTATAAAAATCTTAAGGCTGTATACTTATAACCCATTTAAAGCTGACACTCTAAATGTGAAGAGTACTGTGATGCTCACTGAAAAACCCTCAAGGCTAAGAACAAGGATTAATTTAAAATTGCATGGAGAACAGCCTTGAAATGAACAGAAATGTCAGTTTGGAAAATGACGCAAGCACCCATCAAGTCACCTTGCAACAGTAGAAAGTGGGTATTTTGTTCACAGCAATGTGATCAGTAGTAATTAAGGGTATTTAGATTAGATTTCTTTACAAGATAATTTCAAGTATAAATTAATTGGCATTAATTAATACTAAGGTAGTATTAATTAATAATGAGGTTAATTTGAAATCCTTGAAGTTAAATTTCTCCCTTTGCTGATACCATATTTGTGCCTTCTTTGGCTTTCTGTATTCAAATAGATGAAGACAATGGACTGGACCTTCATCTTGATAAACTTGTTTTTGTACCCACTTCAGTTTTGTACTGCTTAGTTTAGGAGTTCAGCCCATCTGTGAACAAAAGCTCACCTGATGCAGCACACCAATGTGACTTTGCCTGAGTCTTTTTGAAAGAATTGTTGTACTGCAAGTTGCAGGAGGTTAAAGCACAGACTGAAGTGTAGCATTTGAGCCATACATGTTTTACCAAGCATACAGAGACCCTCAGTTCCCAGTTTGGTAAAAATTCAATAATGTAATTAGATGATTTTTATACACATCACTTACTCCAATATTTGGAGGCATATGGTTATATCTTGGAACAGGAACTCTCCAAGATTTAAGGTACCCTTCTGTTTTGTCAGAAAAGTATAATACTTAGGTTAAATTGGAGATCACACCACTGAGTTTATTATAGTTCTTAGATTGTGTATCACCTCCAGAAGCTGCTGTGATACTACTGGGACACTAATGGATCATTAAACTATAGCTAAACTATAGGTAAATTGATAAGTAACTAGATTGGAAGGTCTAAGAGAATCCCTTTGAGACTTTACAGATGCAGAGAAAGCTTTGCCCTCCTGTGCTTATTTTTTTTAACCCAAGCCAAACAGCTCAGTAAGAACAAATACAGGGACATATTGGCTCCACATTCTGTCAAGGTGACAGCTCTATCTTGTGGCTCTCACTCATAAAAATTTTGTCTCACTGAACAAAATTGTGCAATATCTCCTGGTGAGTGACAGCTGGGAAATAACCTACCAATTGGAATGTCTAGGGGGTATCAGTGATTAATGCTGCCCTTAAAGTGATTTTCTTGTCAGAAACTACTTAGACCTTGCCTTAGATACCTTTTTAGTAAGGTGTTTGCTTTCAGGCACCCTGCCATAGACCCACTGGTGTGACCTATGGTAATTATTGTTCAGATTTTTAGACTGGAACTGCTTAAATCCATGAGTATCTCTCTTATTCTATATTCTATATCTTTATTTTTATATATTATTATATATCTTTAAAATAACATAATTTCACTTAGAGAGAAGCCAAACAAATGCATGAGTACAATGTCTCTACAGAAAAAAAAAAAAAGACAGTATTTGAAATATTTGAATACATAAAATTATTTTAAAGCTCAAAAGAACCATACTGGGGAATAAGTTAAACTGTAACTAAATCCAGAGCACATGCTGTATTTCTCAAGGCATGCCATTTTGAATTTTTTAAGTCAGGCATGAAACACAATATAAAAAATGTTGACAGTGTCATAAAAATCTTAGCTCTTCAGTGTCAGTGAAGGACTTTCTTTCACTTATGAATATAAACTCTGGTGGCAATTGTTTTTCCCAAAAACAAAAAACTAAAACAAACAAACAAAAACAAAACAAACAAACAAAACAAAAAACCCAAACAAACAAAAACCAAAAAACCCAAACAAACAAAAAAACAAAAAACCAAACAATCAAACAAAAAAAAAAAAGGCAAAACAAACAAAAAAAGCTAACTGATGAATGTGGTGCTGGACATTACTCCAAAATGCATTTTTCCTAGATTTTTCTAACATTAACATTGGTATTTCAGTATATTCCACCAGAATACAGAGAAGTTGGTATACAATTATGAAGCCTTTATGATAAAATTTAAAATGCTGCTGCATACTTATTTTTTTCCCAAGAAATGTATATCTACAAGTTGGAACACATTTCTAAAATAATTACAAATTTATCCAAGTTTGGATCAAAATTCAATAGATAAGCATTTCGACACTTGATTCTGCAGCTCATGAAAAAGTGTTCTAAAGCTAAAGGGTATTATCACGCAGGTTCAACTTGCCATAATCACACACATCTGGGAAAGCATGAGATACACAAAATGTTCTGCATTATAAATGAAGGAAGACAGGAAGAATTTGGATTTTGATAGCACATGCTTTCTGTGAAGCTATTACATAGAACCATAGAATCATTTAGGTTGAATAGGACATTTATTGAGTCCAATGGTTAATCCAGCACCACCAAGTCCACTACTAAACCATGTCCCCAACTGACACATCTACATATCTACACCATCCCTTTGGGGGTGGTGATTCCTCCACTTCTCTGAGCAGCCTCTTCCAATGATTGAAAACCCTCCTGGTGAATATATTTTTCCTAGTATCGAACCTATACCTCCCCTAGTGCAACTTGAGGCCATTGCATCTTGTCCATTCACTTTTTAATTATGAGAACAGGCAGACCCCACCTGGCTACAATCTCCTTTTACGCAGTTGTAGAGAGCAATGAGATTCCTCCCTAGCTCCAGGCTAGACAACCCCAGCTCCATCAGTTGTTCCTCATCAAGCTTGTGTTCCAGACCCTTCCCCAGCTCTGTTGCTCTTTTCTGGACTCACTTCACCATCTTAATGTCTTTAGTGAATGGCCCAAAACTGAACACAGAATTTGCGATGTCTGGAAAGTTCCCTGCCATGCCCTGCTTCCAGATTGCTATTTGGGAATAAGTAAGAAAAGAGCCCTAATACATTGGTGCAATGGTTCCCCAACTTTTTTGTTTTATTCTCTTCTGAGTTCTCTTTTCACTACATTCTGATTATTCTTAATTTATTATAACATTGGGGAAAAAAGGAATAGAATCATAAGGAAAGTGTTACAGCAGTAGTTCTCTAGGCCAGCTGCCAAACAGGGCTGCATTTAACAGGTGATAATAACTGTGGCATGAATATTCATCAGAACTTTTAACAGATGTTTTACAAAATTTCCATCCTCTGATTTCAAATGAAGTTGCATACAGTATTCATGAAATCTGGCATTACAAATATTTCTAAAAATCTGATTAACATTTCTTAATGACTCAACAGTTCCACAAATAGCTATACTTCTGACTCAGGAATGTAAAGCAAGAAAATAGAGGCTAGACTGTGCCACCTCTCCTTATGATGAATAGTGCTTTGAATCTATGAAAGGTTTAAAGGATACAGAAGGAGGTTATCCACTAAATTGTAAGCCAACAACTTGAAAATATATGACCCAAGAACCTTCATATTCATTTTACAGACACATTTATCTACATTTCTTAGACTAAGCAACATACTTAATATGTAAACAAATTGGAATGGATAGAAGTTCTCATTATAAATGCCACAGTACAATCCAAAGAAAATATAACCTGACATCTTTGCATAGAGTTGGTATGCTTTGCTCACCAAAAAAAATAATTAAAATTAAGAAATTTTTATTGCAAAATCGAGTGATGTGAAAGATTAAATTTATAGTAAAGAGCAGCAACCAGGGAACAAGACAGCATATTAATCAGCATGCTAGCAGGTTTGTGTAATACTCTGGCTTCATAAGGTGGAACGTGCTATTTCTACCTAAATAAAAGTTTGGTAGAGTTTCATAGAACTCAATTTGAGTTCAAATAACAATGCATACAATAAAGGCACCAGGATACGTCTAAGACTTGTCTATGTCCAGCATACTTATGTATCTCTAAGTGATTTATATGACAGATATAATTTAAAATATGAAAAAACCCTGTTGTTTTTTGGGTTTTTTTTTAACCTGTATTTTATTCTTTGGTTTTAGTTTTTAATGTAATTCAGTATTAAAAATACATTCTAGTTTTGCCATTAAAAAAAAAACCAAACAAAACAAAGCAAAACCAAAACCCCCAAAATTCCCAAACACCCTAAGAGTGTGCCATTCTTGGACTCCTATAAATTTTTGTTAGTGCTAAAATAATATGTTAATATTACAACAATAGCAGGCAGATATTAGAAAAATATCCTTCAGCTGTACATAATAGTAGGATAAAAGTTTACAATTACTTTCTTAAGAGAAAATCATCCTCATGTCATTAGGTTAAACTGTAATGTCTTATTACAGCTGAAAAAATATTCTGTACTACTAAAAATATCCCTGAAGAAAATCAGAAATAAGAAAGTATTTATATTTGAGATGTAGCAGAACAAGAAGGTATCAAAACCATGGTCTCCATATTTTATTGCTATTGATTTAATGGGAACTCTTACATACCTTTATTTTACTGAGTAAACCACTCAAAATCAAGTAAATAGGTGCTGGGTAGAAAATAATTAGCATGAAGCATAAAGAGACATGGAGGAAGATGTTTAATGTAGCTATTGGCATTTAAGCACATAACTATCCCAAAAATAATGCATTTTTTTCCTTTACATATTTTAGAATACTCTACATATAGACAATTTATAGACAATTTATTTAACCATATATGTCCCTTATAGACAATTTATAAGGGACATTATAAATTATCTATAAGGGACAACAATATGTCCCTTATAGGCAATTTATTTAACCATTTCCTTTTTGCTCATGGAATTGTTTTGTTATCACACAATATGGTCAGGAAAAACAATATAGTAAATCCTTTAAAAGGAAAGCTTAGACATTGACAAGAAAATAGTCTTTAGGTTTGCACTAAAATTTGGATTCTACTCAAAAAAGAACTTTGACCCAGACTTCAAGGCAGTTACAGCCATCACAGACCTTGGGAAGATCACTTCTCACAAACATTGGGACAGCAAATGCCCTCATTCTCAAAAAACATAAATTAAAGTAAACTTAAAGGCCTAACAGCTACTGTTTTAATGAATTAACTCTTGAATCAAAAGCACAACTGGAAAAACAACTCTTCTGAGTTTTCATTAGACACAGACACTTCAGTCTTGTTAGGAAACATATTGAATCTACACTTTTTTTTTTCTCTGAGAAATAAAACCAGATTTTCAACCTTTACTGAGTTTTGTTCTCAGGTTGACTTGGGGACATATTTTTCACCATTTCTGCATGATACAGTTATAGGGGCAAAAACAGGGTACCGATGCTCTCAGACAGCTTTATCACAATAATAAAGAGGAGAGTTGGAAAAAAAGCCTAAACCCATATATACCATACGTTTTAAATCTAATTACACCTTTCAAAAATTTTTTTAACTAGATAAAAAAAATAGATAAAGTTTAAATTTAATTGCTTTTCTTTGCATTTTTTGTCCATTAACTTAATATTTCCTGGTTACCATACTTTCTTATTCCCCTAGCTGCTTTGGAAATTGTATATTGCCTTTATACAAACAATGTATTGTTTTTACCTTTGCTTCGATTTGTTTAGTATCTTGGTTTTGGAACAAAAATTTTATTTTGCTCTTTCCATCATCTGAAGAACCTTTGAGCTGGGAAAACTTGTACCTCCAAAGCACAGCCTAAAGGGAAAAGAAAAACAAACAAAATATAAAATATCATACACAAGTCAATGCAGTTATCATGAAAATTGTATTAGAAATGGCTGATCTCCTTCCAAGGAATGTTTTAACACATCCATGGTACATAATTAAATAAAGCAAGTGTTCTGTGGTCAGATGTTCCTTTAGTCATATAGATATGTTATACTTTGGCAGTGCTTGAATAACACCTGTCAGACTACATTTGTGAAATTTACCCTGAAATTCCTTTATCTATATTTAATATTTAAACAAAAAAGAAGGATTTTTTCCACTGATGATCAATGGCTTCCCTACTCTATCTGACGTATTGATCTGACATACGAGCCCCCTCCTTCCATACTGAAAAAATCTAGTATTAACATAAAGGGTATATCATAGTAAAAACAAATATATATTTTAAAGGATAAAATAATAAAAAAAAATTGTAAGGAGAATATATTTTGAGTTTATTTATGAGAGCTCTAGTAAGGAATTTGAGTAACTCATTAATTCTAACTGTATCTGTGGCCTTTCAAGTAATTATATTATGAACTGCATTGTGTCTTGTTGAAAAAGACATAATGCTTTATAAAATAAATATACAATTAATAAAATTTACAGATGTCTATAAAAACATCTTTTAAAAATTATATCTAGTGCGGATTTATGAATAAAAAAATAATTTTAAACTACTTTGTTTAAAAATGGAAAAGAGCTATTTTTTGTTGTCTTTTCAACCTCATTTAAAGATATTCCCCACCATCCAGATATTTTGGATTGTTAAAATATTTCATTGTGATTCCAATAGTATTTCACATAATTAGGAGTTCAACATCACTTACATTGTGCTACTACTTTGTTGAACATTGATTTCACAGGCATTATAAAATCTTTTGTCTAAAGGTTTATAAATTTTTTCCTCTCAGTGGTGTAGGAAGGCCCTTAGTCTTTATCTATGAATGATTTACTATCTACTGGGAATTAAACAGATTATGGGGGAGGTCAAATTTTTAACTGCCTTAAATCTATGCAGGCCCTTCTGCTTCGGGATGTGTTGGTCTCTTTATGACTGGCAAAAAAATCTTTACCCTGCACCAAACTGAATAAACTTTGTTGTGTTTGTCTTAGCAACCTGACGAGAAAAGAAATCACAAGGAGAGCATCTTAACTGTGCACTATACACAAAGCAAGAGCTAGAATTTTTCTCCAAAATTGTCTCTATGCAGTTGCCCCTTTAAAATAAAAAAAAAGAACCCTTGTCTCAGCACAACTTTCATTCTCTGCTTGTATGTGACAGGTGAGCTCCCATCTGCCACAAACACTGTTAAGGACATTATGTTTCACATAAAATACAGGATTTTGACAGTTTATGTGAAAATATATCCTATTTGTTTCAAATGTTTTCCTCCTGAGCCCACCTATCTGTGCTACAGAAAATAGAATAGCTTCCCTCATTTCTATGTGTTTGAAATTCTTTTGACATTGTTTGATCAAAGATGTTTATTTATATTGTACAAATAGTGAGGTAAAAACAAAAGTAAGCAAAACAATCCAGTGTATAATATCATTCATATATGTGGCTATATCTTTTTTTTTACAGATCTATGAAATCTTGCCAGAAGAACAAGACCATTGCCTTTCTGCAGGGACAGCAAATCTACTTAAGTATGTCATTTCCTGGATGAGAAATATAAAGGGCACTGATTGTCTCTTTATCTCAGGAGAAAACAATCAAAGCAATGAGCTATCATCTTTCTCTTCTCTGATGATATATGGAGAGGACAGGAGAGAGATGCAGCATTAAAAAGGACCCTTAGATGTTCAGGCAAAATCCCAGGGTACCTGGCCTTATTCCCAGTCAGATTAAGTCTGAATGAAGATGAAGGATGCATAGAACTGAGGTACTTTGACATTTCCATGCTTTGCCATGCACTTCATTCCCATTCAGAGGAAAGAGAATGACTGTCATACCAAACCACAGGCACGACTCAGGAACACACTTCAATTTATGCATAACATTGGTTTTGGAGACTCCTTCTTACTGCAAACACTGCAAAATCAGGTCTATAGTGTAGAGAGTACTAATCCCAACAAAACTGCACTTCAATATCAAGATATTAAAATAAGCTCCTAGAACTGACAGTCTTTGCAGAGGCAATTAAATACTCTTCATCTGAAGTTTAAGGAGTAGAAATGCTATTGACAATGTGTTAAATGATTCCCACATGAAGGAATTATTTGCTCCTTTTGGGTGATCTTCAACAAATTGCACACGCTTTCCCTCAAAGTTGGCCACATGAGGGATCGGTCATTTGCAAAAATAGAATAGGGAAATGTTGTGAGCTTTAAGTCACTAAGTTGTGAATACAAAGTATTTCAAGCTAATCACCCTGACTACTTTTTTTTTTCTACAGAATCTCTAAATAAAAAATCCTACATCCTGGTTTAAAATGGCAAGAACTCGTTCACTATGGTAGAGTTTGGATGTGTGTTTGCTACACTATGCTATACTACATTGAAAGCATAACAGATAGCTTAAACCACTTAAAGTAGAAGTTCAAATTCTAGATAGCAAAAGTTGAGAAAATTAGTTAATTAAATGCCCAGTAAAACTCATTTAAATCCTTTCTCCTGCCAAAGAGGCTGAAGTGCTGCCCTGTGTAGCCAGAACTGCACATTTTGTATGTGTAGCACATCTATAAGGGATACAGAATGATGTGACTGCAGTCACATTGCTTAAAATAAAGTATCTTGAGGATCACTGGATTAATTTCTCTGGTGGCATATGATCTGAGTGTGGTTCTTTCCTTTTTTTCATTTTCATTGCTGCAAAATGCATAAGCAGTGAACAGGGACCAGACCTATCCTTTTTCCAATAACTACTTTATAGTGCCACAGTAAGAAAGGATAGAGAGACCACACCCACTCACCTTCACACAGATGTGCAGCTACAGCAGGAACATTAACACATGTGTTATCTTTCATTATCCTATGGGCTGATTTCAGTGTTACAGGGTTCACTGTGATTACTCTTCCAAATTCTATTTTCAAAGGCTAATTCTTCTACTCAGGTATAGTTATCCTTGGGAATACTGATCTACACCACTGTCACAGTCATTTTTTTTTAATGTTTTTGAATATCAGAGTTCCTCGGAACCATTTGCTGGATGTTTGCCTCAGAAAGTTAACATAGTCTGTAATAATTTTGTACAAATATATTTATGTACACATATTGACTTTTAACCAATAAGTACATTTGTAAAACATGCTGGCTTTTTTGAAAATTTGAAAAAATACCTAAATGTGTGTCACTTAAAATATTTCTATATCAGTTTTCAAGAATTATGCAAAACAAGCAGAAGTACTTACTGGTTTGAAGGTGTAGTGTTACTGAGCTCAACTCTCATAGGGCTACTTTTAGCTGACAAAACCAGACTGCTCTCTTCAAGTACTTGCCTCAATAACTGTGCATAACCTGCATCACTGACAATATTTTACAGGTCTATATACAGCATTTATAGGAAACAATAAATTTTTGTTTGCCCTAAAATAGATTTGACAGGTGGGTCAGGTGCCAATTCCTTTGAAAGCACAAATTGCAACTGAATTAAAAAAGATTCTCTTGTAGACAGTGGCATCAGCTACTCTTGAGGATCCTGACACACCTTTCAAGTCATGGCACACAACATTGTGATGCCTTGAAGGAAGATGAAGAGGAGAACTCAGGATGCACTATTTATTGCTCCTCAATGAATCAGAGAAAAGTGAATTTAATGAGTAGAGGTAGAATTTAGGAACAACAGCAAACAGTCCAATTCAGCAAGTGGGGACCAAGGCACACACTGAAAGTACCACCAGGGCCACAATTTGCACACTCCCAGTGTGGCCACAAAATATCTGACATAATTAATCCATGTCTTGAAAAATGTACTCTAAGAAAACAATCTCTTTGAACAAATACAGTATATATCATGCATAAAATTGAACACAACCGATATGACATAAATCCTTTTCCCAATTATTATTCATATATTGCTTAGGCTGCTTTCTGTATTTTACACCATTTAATAAAATTACCTTCAAAGAATACCAGAATGCAATGCAAACAAATAAACTGCAGACAAGCTGGCAGATTAGATTTAAGACTCCTCTTGAGATGTTATTAAATTATTGTAATAACAAATTGTCAAAAAACAAAATCCTGCATTCACTGAATTAGTAGGATTTCTTTTCCTATGATGTATCTGGGACCAAGATTCTTCACCAATACTTTTTAATGAGAAATATTTTATTTATAAGTAATCATCTAGGACTCATTTGCAAACAAATTACTGCCTATTATCTTTCACTAGTGTTATTCTGCTATAATTAAAAAGGATGGTCTATGCCTGTGTATTTTTATTTTATAGTTGGTACATAAATGCAATATATAAATGACACATGGAAGAAAACTATTGACTTATATACCTGTAATACAGTCACACAAATTAAGAAATTATATTGTTTCTATTTTTAGCAATAATGCTAGATCTAGAACACATAGTCTTAAAGCCACCTTAGAAAATACTTTCACATCCATATTATATGTCAGTTTGCTACTTATTCCTGGAATCTTGGACTGATCCACATACAATTTATGTTAGATGACATCAAACAAAATTACTTTCCATCTAGGCAATGACAACAGAAATATGGAAATGCATCATAACTGTAACAGTCTTTGTTTGGGCTATGACTAGGAATATTCATTAGAGTTTTTGTTTGATTTTGGGTCAAGGAGATTGTGCTAATCCTAAATAGAGACCAGAGTATCAAACAAATACAGAATGAATAGGTGACTATGTTTTTAATTACCATGCTCTATGGAATATGCATAGAAATGTGAATGCCTGACTAGTCCATGGATCTGGAATAGATATATAATTTAGGATACAGAGGGCACTAAGCAGTGCAGCTAGGAAAGAAAATGTGTATTTTATCAACATAAGAATCGCTGACAA